GTTTAAATTTTTTTTATCTTTCCTTTATATTTGTGATTTGATTTTGAATGTGAATACAAATATGTTGACCATTTTTTTTATTACTCTATGCCTTTAGACACGGAAAATAACTAGTCATTTTATAAAAAAAAAATTTCAATAAGTTGTGTTACCTTATTATTAATATTTTCATTAATTTTTTTTATATGAATTATATGTGTTTGTTGAGAGAGGGAGAGAGAGATTGATGTCTATGGGCCCAAATTATTAAATTTAAGGTTGAGGTTTTTTGAATGCCGATCAGCAGTTTTGGAATTTTTGGTCAATAAGAACATGAATGTTCTTTTTTGAGGCTTGAAGGACAATTAAAGGTATAAACATTAATATATCCTTAATGACATAAATAGTTATATTATAAAATGGACAGTAGCAGTAATAGCAACACAATAATAGTAATTGTCACAATAACGCAATCATAATAACAATAATGCTCATGTAGGTAAGGTGTAACGGGCGATGATTTGAAATGGAGGTGTTATGGAAGGTAGTAGGATTGAAGTATAAAGTGGTAATGAGCTAGACAACAATACGATTATAGTAATAGTCACAATCATTGTCAAAATTTTACGGAACTATACAGTAATGTGAACTATATAGTTACATGATCACAATAATAGTCACTATCAAAATTTTACGGAATCAGATCATAATGTAAACTACACAGCCTTACGATCACAATAATAACCACAATGACAGCAACAATGACATATATAGTAAATTTCGTTATTATTGTCCAAATTTTAAAGTGTGAATTTGAAATGTATTTTGCTTAATACCAAAAATAATTTATTCAATTTAGTAGACTATCATTATGAACAAATTAAAATTTACTCTGTTAAGTTTCGGATGCATTTCATTGAACACCATTTGACATACCCGTAAACTCTTATTCTTCATTGATCTCAAATTCTTCTAAAAAAAAAAAAGAGTAATTAAGATGCGTACTCAATACACAATGAGCAAATCGAGTAGGAGTAGGACCATCATTTTTGAAATGACAGATGCTAACCTTGATCAGCTGATAGTCGGTTTCTGTGAAATTGAAAAGAATGTTAGAGAAGAAGACAAAAAAAGACTCATTAACCCCAAGGATTAGAGAAAAAGTCAAGAAAAGATTCTACAACTTGGGATTAGGAAAACTAACTATTCGATGAGACAATAACTATTCAACCGAAATAAGAATGTGTGGATTATAAAACGTATCTATTCGAACGAAACCTTACACCCCCTTCCCCCTTGATGAGTGTAACTAGGTGAACTATTGGATATGGAACATAGATGAAGGAGAGGCATGCGCTGGGGAAGCATAGCATAAAGAAGAAAGGGAACCTAAACGGTGAAAGAGTCGGGAGTTCGAGCGTTTGACGAAAATGAGAGGTTTTTTCGTATGAAAGAAGGCAACTGTTCTTACATAATCAGTGACGAGTTAAAAGTCAAAAACCACAACTCCAATTCATTCTTCATTCAACCATCTCTCTCTCTTTGTCTCTAACTATACGTGTGTGTCCGTCGTCTCTGAACTCTTCTTTGAAAGCCTTTAATTGAGGAAGAAGATAGTAAAGTCACTGGAGTAGAGGGAAAAAGGGGACGTGTTGTTCAAGAGGGTTGAGTTCAGTGGGATACGTAATTTGATTTAAAAGGTAGTTATTGTGTCATCATTACGAAAGTGATCCCACATGGGATAGTTTTTCTTTTTTGAACTCTCTCTCTACCAGGCGTTGAACCCACAACCTAGGGGGTTGGAATTTGATGTCCAGAACCCCCGAGCTAGAAGGAAGGTTGGTACATATGGGGTAGTTACTTCATGACATTGGATTGGTAGTTATTGAATTATGTAAAATTCACTTATTCACATTTTATCTTATTATTAGATAACTATATCATGTCAACATGATAAGATAGGATAACCATTACACTCAATATTTACTCCAACTTGTACTTTTCATGAGTAAATTTTACTGCATAACACAAGGAGGTGAATACAAAGTTTTCTCAGTTTGATTGCACAATCCCCCATTGGTTTCAATACCAGCAGTTCCCTTTTCTTCTTTTTCTTTTCATAAAACTATTGTGCCCCATGTGCACTTAGTTCTGTCTCTCACTTAGTGTAAACCTTCTTCTTTACGGTTCTTCCCTTCCCCAATACGATTTCTTGGGCCTCGAAGAAAAGGTACTGGAGCTCCAATTCACCAAATGTGCATAGTACAAGGACATAAGCAAACTACAAACCTGATTTACTATTCCATCAAGTGTGTTTCAATTGCTTCATAAAAGCCATACACATTGTAGAAGTTCAGTAGTAATGATGGATTTTCATCTTTTTTGATTGTTCATGATATGTTATAGAGGCTCGCAGTTGCTACTTAGTCCTCACCCCAACTTTACCCAGCATTACTTGGACTTTACTACGAATCAAAAACCTATATAACACACACGAGTATATATATATAGGTAAATACTATTTGGACCTTATTTAGGAATTTTATTTAGGGACCTAATGATGTACAACTATCGGATTGGTTGTAGGCTTAATTTAATATTGAAACTCACAACTAATTTAATGATTATATTGAAGTCATATCATTAGATACCTAAATAAAATTCCTAAATAGGATTCCTATAACATTGCTCATGTATATATTGTCACCCACATGATCATAACCAGCACCCTTTTGATTGTACACAAAATCTAAAACCCAAACATTAATCAATCTCCCTATGCCATGGATCGAGTTGGTTTGTGTGAGAGAGTGAGGGAAGAGAGAGAAATCAAACCACAAAGTAGAGGTCACAATCGTGTTCATATCTTGTAATTCATAGGTTCGTATTAAACACTTATTAATTCAAACTCAACTCATTTAATTAATCTTGTCATATCGATCCGATCTATTTATTTTCATGTTATGTTCATTCTGATTTATATAACTCGTGAATCAAAAATTTAACACTACGATTTAAGTCTAACATTATCTTATCTCAAAATTGAACTCACACTCATACTTTTAACTTAATAAGTATAATAATAAAAATAAGTAAAAAATCCTCTTTTGTATAAGAATTATGTCGATACTTGAGAAAAAAATAACAAAAAATTATCATTTTATTCCTATAATATTAGTTAAACATGTTTATCGTCTCAATTTCGTGTTATTCGTACTTGACACTAACTCGACTCATTTATTATTCGTGTTAACAGGTCATATCACTTAAGAATTTATATTGAGAAATAATAAATCCTAATCTATTAATTTTTTATTGATTTCGAGTCATGTCAAAACTTATTACCCTTAGTCAAAACTTATTACCCTTACTCAAAACATCAATTAATCTCTGTGGGGTTATAGGGTTTAAGCAATATACACTTGGAAAAATTATATTTTTACTTTTACCCCCTCAATTATAAAACTATTTTTACATTACTCCATCAACTATCATATTTTTATACTAGTCATAACATGTGCCTGAAGACACGATAAAATATAAAATTCGAGAGCGTCCAAAAATCGATCCCACTATATTAAATATTAAATAATTAAATATATTATAAAAATGAGTTGTGTGATATTTTTAGAGAAGAAATATATAAATGATTAAATATGTGATAGAAATGAGTGATGTGATTTGACGTTTGAGTCTGACAAAGGGATGATGAGTGAGGTAAGTGATTGATGATGATTTTGAGGGAAAAAATATAACTGAAATAAAATTCAAACATATTCTTGTTTTATTATATTGATTATATCTCAAACTATATTATTAATTTTACATTGCACCAATAATTAACGTCTGTTACAAGCTTGACAAAAAAATATTTTATTTTGTCATTCGAACTATGTTGTTTGATTTCATTTTGCTCCAACACTGACATGTCAACAAGTTCCATCTAAAAAACTACATGCATTTATATTTGGCACAATGTAAAATCAATCCGGTAATTGAGGGTATAATATAAAAAAATTCAATAATTAGGGGGTAAAGTAAAATCAAATTCATATTAAAAGGGCCAAAGTGTAATTTATCCTATATAATATCCGGAGTGTTTTATCTTCCGCTGGAAGCGTAAAGGCGCTTAACCTATATGTTTGGGTACGGAGGTAAGTAGTCCGTGGATGGCTTTTTATTCTGGTTTTAAGTAGACCGACTTGTAAGAAGTAATGTGGCCGTAGCCTGTCAATCGTGTGGAACTCGTGTTAGGTTTTAAGAGAATTTGAGTCAAAAAGTATTCTATCAATAATTAATTAATTTATTTTTAACTAATTATGTTGTATCAAATTTTTATCGTGTATAAATTGTATATATTGATATATAAACGAATAATATTTTATATATTTTTTATTAAATTTATTTATATCTGATTTATTCATTAATTATGTTAGATCGAATTTATTTGTTTATAAAATAAATAATGAGTAAAAAATTTAAATTCTCTGATTTCATGCCATATTAACGAATTTTGTCGTCTTTTAATAATATGGGTAGACATTTTATTGTTGACCAAACAGGTGATGTGGGGCCAAGGGCAACACTGAGAGACCATTGAGAGTGATAGACCCGCAGACGTTTATAGCGCTACCAAAGAGATTTTGGCGTTGTTCTGTTCTGTTCTCTTCTCTTCTCCAGCGCCTTCACTGCTCTCAGGTGAGGTTCTGACCTGAATCTGTTAATAACAGTTTGTTATTATTTCTATGATTATCAATCGTTTATAATCGACGATCTGCTTTCAATTTCCTAATTCGTTTACAACGTTAGGATTCTGAGAAATTAGGTATTAAGCTACGGCTTCAAATTAGCTTCGTATTCGTCTGCTGATTTCTCTCTCTCTCTCTCTCTCTCTCTCTCTCCGTCGATTGTGGTCGAGTGATTGATTGAAGTGTCTTTTTTTTGTTATGCAGCTGTTTTGGAATTCTGATTTGTCCGAGTTTTGAATTGTATCGAATCAGAAAGTAGTGAGTATATTAAAGATGCAGGTTAGTCGGTGTTTAATTGTGGTACTAGGATGCTTTTTATCGCTGGTTGTGTATGTCTCCTCTTTTGTAAATGCAAAAGTGATTAATTGATGCTGCCTTGTGCCCTATATATGGTGTTTATGCTAAGTTCAGGCATCAAGAGCAAGGCTTTTCAAGGAGTACAAGGAGGTTCAGAGGGAGAAAGCGGCTGATCCAGATATTCAATTAGTTTGTGATGATTCCAACATATTTAAATGGACAGCTCTTATTAAGGTATGTATGCTTTTGGATGGATTGATGGAAAAGATTGATTGTACTATGGTGTTGCTTGACTTTGTTGTGTTTTCAGGGGCCATCAGAAACACCTTATGAAGGTGGCGTTTTCCAGCTTGCTTTTTCTGTCCCGGAGCAATATCCTCTGCAGCCTCCTCAAGTTCGATTCTTAACCAAAATATTTCATCCAAATGTTCATTTTAAGGTATGAGTCTTATTTATTATTGTACCACATTTTAGCATGTCATTTTATTCTTTGTCACTGCATTGATTATGACTGACATTCAGAAACCGAGCAGGTGGGAAATCCTACCCATCCATCTATTGCACCCTTTGTCTATTTGTCTTTCCTTATATTGGGTCTACGATTGCCCCATAACTACTTGATGCTGTTATTTGACGTTGAACGAAATGGCGATAAAACACTAATAACATTGTGTTTGATAGGTTGTCAAATTATGCCGTAAAAGGATAAAAGGAATCTCAAAACATTTTTCTGGATAAGTGTTGGCACCAAAATCTTTTTTTGTAGGATGAGGAAAATTTTAGCTTTGAATTGACATAATAGTTGAACCTGCATAAAGTATGGTTTTCTTTGGAAAAAGATAGTGGATATAATATAACATTGAGAAAACGCTGCTACTGATTGATTCAAAGTGCCTTGGGTTGAGGTTGTTATGAAGTTTGCTGAGGTTCAAGCATTGAAACATGGAGAATGAATAACTCTTCCCATTTTAATTGTTGTAACAAGCAAACTATACCATTGCAACCAGTACAAGCATGCAGTTTGGGTGATTGAAAGCATTATCCTTGCATTCCACTTGGCTGGTTTAGCATTATTTGCTACTTCCTCAATCTGATGGATTAATTTTCACTGTATTTTCCTTTTGGTCAATTTAGAAATTTTTTGTGTATTCTGCTACTTATCGTAAATTGGATTAGCCTCTGTAGTGGGTACAGCCATTGGTAATGCAATATAAATTTCTGAACAACTTGTGTCAGTCTCTGATAAAAAGTTATGTCCAGTTAATTGAAAGCCAAGTAGCAGATAGCTCTAGAGTTCACAAAATACAATTAAAACCTCATTTATGCACATGAAATTGAACCGAGACAATGTCTACCTGGACTCTTCTTTTTTTTTTTGACTTGCTATTTGGTAAAATGAACTGGGATCCCCTTCAAGTGGAACTTTTTCAATTAAAACAGTTGTTTTTGACAGTTTGTCTTTTAACCTTACAGACAGGAGAGATTTGCCTTGATATATTGAAAAATGCATGGAGCCCAGCTTGGACACTCCAGTCTGTTTGTAGGGCTATCATTGCTTTGATGGGCCATCCAGAACCTGATAGCCCGCTAAATTGTGATTCAGGTAAAGTTGGAGTCGGTCTGTTGCTTTTGAAGTCCTGTCCTTTTGGTTTTCTTTTGACCAGGTGGTAGAAAAAAACATAAAATTTTGAAGGTTTAAATGACCTTGTCCCAAAAGCTTTTTTTGATGTGAGAATCAACATGATGCCAATGATATTTTATGCCAACTGTTAAGTAATCTTTTTGCATGAAACTATGCTTGAATATGTGGTATAATCCCTTTGAGAAAAGAGAAAGTCAACCCCCCCCTCCCTCCCTCTTCGGTTGCCTTGTGCCGTACACTTTGATAGCAGTTGCCCCTGCCACTGATGTTGAACTGTATGGTGCCCTCAACGCCTTGTTGTTTATGACTTAAATTTTTAAAATTTCTTGTGGCATTGAATACCAATTCCATTCACGTTGGTAAATAGAATAAAGGCCTCACTTCCATAGGTTTGAGCTATGTGACATGGTAAGAAGAGATTCAGTTAGGGCTTTTTGTCTAAAAGTCGGATCTAAATTATTGAAATGTTCTATTTATTTTTCTGTGCCTTTTGGGACAAAATGACGCTCTCTCTCTCTCATGGTTTTTACAAGGCTAAGCTGCAGTCTCACTTGTTTTCAACTAATGGTTCACTCTTGCTCTTGCATAGGTAATCTTCTCCGATCTGGTGATATCCGAGGATTCCAGTCCATGGCAAGGATGTATACTCGGCTTGCGGCCATGCCCAAGAAAGGGTGAATTGACGGCTTGCTGCTTCTTTCTCTCGACTTTGAGCAGCCTTTGTATGTTGTATTTTTACCAGCTTGCGGACACCCTTGTGAAGAAGCCCATGTGTTTGATAAATTGAACAAAAACCGAAATGTGTGTTCTACTTGTGGACTTGAATTCAGCACCTTGTAAGCTGTTGTTGAAGCCAATCAATAATACTTTCATCGTGTTATTAGATCTAATAATCTGGATCTACTATCCTGTCCTAGTGTCAGCAACATGGAATCATCCTATTGATGGAGACTTCAATTGGAAAATGAGAAACTTCATTGTGCAGACAAGTGGGGAACAAATATCCCGCATGATGAAGCCAGGACCACAATTTAATGACCAAGGGATATCTCTTCAAGCTTGAAGAGAAGGTCTTCTATTCTGTCATCCCTGTTCTCATCTCTCTCTTCGATCCTACTCTCAGTGCGCAAGTTTTTTATCTATGGTTTAATCTTGGAAGGATAAGTGATAGACAGTTTTCCTTTCATTTGGAAAAAAAACTGATTCACTGATTCAAATTTGCGATGTATTGTTTTGGATGGATGAAGTTTGTCATTGCTCCAAATTTAATCCCCCTCTCTACACTAGGCTTTTCATTGTTCCAGATTCAATCCCCTTCTCTCTACACGCAATCTCTTCCGAATGCATACACATCAACTAAAAAAGAATGCATTCCGTTTTAACACCCCCAAAAAGGTCTTGTTTAAGTTTATTTATTGCAAGAGACTATTATTCTATAGAAATATGGCCCTTAATAGAGCACACTGGTTGCTCCAAAAAAAATTTAAAAAGAACACCACAATAGAGAAACATAATTTATGTAGTCAACCTCAAATAAATAAGCGACTATTATTCTAAAGACTTATTAGGCTTGTGCTATACTATTTGCTGTATATAATTTCCTTACTCTGTTCTCCCAGGGGGAGTTTGCTGACTCAAGCAAGACATCAAATTAGAGTATAGTGACAGAATGCACTGACCACTTATTTTCAATTGAAATAAGCTGCATTATCATTGATAGAAGAGGCATATACCGTGTCCATCCAAAAAAAAAAGCTCTAGCAATGAACAGTTCTCACAATGTGAGGCAAAATTATGCTATATCTGTGTCAAAAACAGCCATCATTCATAGCCAAATATAACACACTGCACTAATATATACTTTGGACCATCTCCTGATCTTATTATCTAGAATCAATCTTCGTTAGCACCTTTCTGATTCCATGTGGCAATACAACCTCTGGAGGCGAACCATTACTAGAAGTGATCGTGGGAACTGCCTGAGATGTTTCAACTGCATCTGTAACAATAGGTTTCACAATACCATTGCCTTTATGTTCTTTGTGTATCGTTTCATTTTTAGATTTTGTTATGCCATTCTGCCCCAGCTCTTGTTGGCTTCCTTTTCTAACTTTGGTTAATGGCGAACACATTGTCTCTGCAACATGAAAGGTGAAGAGTTAGTTTTCATTAAGGTTTATCAAACCTGTCAATTAGCAAGAGATACTAAATTCCTCAGATCTGAAAATAAAAATAAAAACAACCCGCTGCTTCTGAAGTTACTATAAAGTGAGGCAATCCAATATTGCCAATATTTCTGGACGTTCTATTACAGTTTTGAGTCACTTGTTACGGAGAATGGAAAAGATTGAGACCTTTTTGATGAGGTTCAGTCTTATGTGGAAGCAATCAGCAAAGGGCCACAATTTCTACTTGCCAAACTAACTAAGTGCCTCAATTTTATCAAAACTATAGCTTTTGGTTTGCTATAAAATCTGGGTATTGAGATGGCATCTGCCAAGACAAGAAATTATAGAAATTAAAATTAGAAGTTCTGTGGAAAAACAAGCACTACTGGAATATAGATAGAAATAAATCAACAAAGACCTGTAAGTACCAAATTAGAAAGAGTGAGCTGGTTGAGTTGAGGCTGCTGGTAAGTTTTGGGGGAAGTCTACAATTGATGTGGATAAGGATTAATTTAGCTTGCGAAAATGCCTCTTATCATTTGAAAACCCATTTACTGCCATAAAATTATTCTACATTTTGGGAGTTTTTGATAGGCCCCCTTGCCATTTATAAGAGACATATTTAGCAGTTCAAACCCCAAGTTGTTTTCTGATGTTAACAAGTAGCAACAAAGTTCAGGCTAATAAAAGGAGAGAATCTCACCTTCAATGCTTCTGCAAGTAATAAGTCTGCTAAGAAAATTCCAGAACGTTGTCAAGACAATTCTTTCCTGTTCTGGATGAACCTCATTGAAGCCCTGCATCGAAGGAGGCATCATAGTTGTCTTTTCACAACAACCTGCAACCCCCGCTGATGACCCAACTACAGCGAACATCGACTCTTGTTCATCACGCATCAATGCAAGCATCCCAGGAGAGATTGCCCTTCCATTTTGTATGTCATCTCCATCTGATTCACAAGCATCCATTTGAACTCTATCTGCTTGGATTACACTAGACTTCTGAACATCTTCATTCTGAAAATTTTTACTCTCTTGACTTGATGAAACAGCCAAAGTTTCATTCTGATATCTCTCTGCTTGTTTATCAATTGTATGATTTTTATCTGAAAAATTCAGATCAAATAATTTAAAGCAATATCTTAAGTTTGATAGGCAAATAATGTACATCTACCCCGGTACAAATAAACCAATTACTGTAAAAGAAGTCTATAGGTGGTACATATAAATTAAATTGAATAAAATTTTACACCTAACTATTGATACTTGATAGTTTGTTACTAGCGACCCCCAAGGACGAAGAGTCAATGGTAATGGGATATATATAGTCAAAATAGGCTTACACTAGAACGTTGTATATTTATCCATTTCCTAATTGCTTGATTGATCTCAGACGACTGATTTAATTATATACATGCTATTAATATTACAAATATTAAGTTGAAAAGCATGAAGTGCCAGTTAACTTAATTGCATATATACTTCATAGATTTTATGAAAATTTTATTGAGCGAGCTACTAGGACCTAATGCATTGTGTTCATTGGATTAGTAGTGGGCCCCAACATTTAACAAGGTTCACCAACAATCTAGTGGTCACAATGCATTAGGCCCCCAAATTAAGTACAAATAACATTATTAATTCTCAATATTTAAATTTATTCAGGTGTAACACACGTGGTCCATTGTTAGTACTATAAAATGTGTGAAGAAGCACTTGTTTAGAACAAATAAGAGAACATCATAAACATGCTTCCTATATCAATATATCCACTAGGACTTTATAGGCAAAAAGACAGTAATACTGGAAAATTTCCACACAAATTTGAACCAAGGCGTACAGTCAAAATAGAGACAACAAGCAGTAACCGTGACCCAAGCGATTCATGTGGTTTGGCACCAGGCACTAGACCTATGTATGTGGATAGACAACATGAGAAGAAACTCCTCTACCTAGATGAAGATTATAGACGAAAAAGTTACCTTTCCTAATAAACCAGTGAAGCCAACCAATTTCTTATTTGCGACTGTGGCAAACACCGACCCTCTCACAGTACAAAAACCATGCCTTCACTGCACAGTCGCATCCATACCTTTATGTGATAGCACAGCTTAACTATCCATGAATCTTGGGCATTCTTCTTATGCCATTAAATCAATAGAACCAGTGAACACGCTAGAACGAAAGCTACTCCCAAGAACAATAGAATCTCAAACTCTACATTTTGCATAATTCTTTCTCCTTAAATACCTTGGCTGTTCAAATTTGTCAGTTCCTCTAAATACCATTTTTTCTAAGAAACCTTTAGCTATTACATCTTTGAGAAATAACCAACGATTCAGATTGGCCAATAATAGCCCAACAACAAATGTTAAGTATTCATGTAATCTAGTTTTCACCTAAGTTCTTGAGGATAACTAGATCACAAGTTCAACCTCTTTTTGCACCATAATGTCATAGCCAAGTTGAGTTATTATATTCGCAGGGGCTTGTAGCAAAGACACTTTAGTTATATTTATATACAGGCTGCATATAAATTTCAAAAGGAACCAGCGAAAGAAAATGTTGAAAAACGTGAAGACATTTTTAACATTATACTTTTCACCAATACAACATATTTCGTTCTTTTCCCATCTTTCTCAGGTCCAAAAACTTATATTTTTTCTGGGTAACTCTTGAATCTTGTAGGGCGCAAAATGTTTTTACTGAAAAAACAAAATATAAAATGCATGTTTGCAGAAGCACTGTTAAAGTAATTTACATTGAATTATTAACTTTGAGTACAAATAGAACTTAGAAGAAAAGTCTAATACAAATGGAGAACCCCATCTCTACTTTGAGAATAAAAGACTTTTTCCGAAAATTCTTTGACCTTGATAACTGGACAGTTATTTAACATATTCGCTTCTCACAAAAACTTGATGCATGCAAATTTACTAACATCCACACCAGATGTCATATCTTCATGAGAAGAAAATAACTATCACTATTTCAGCCTTACCATTTGTCATAGATTAAAAGTATAGAGAAATATTAAGTAATTTCAATTTTGTACAATGACCTGCGAGTGTCTTTGCAACTTCAGCTGAAACTACAACCAAAAGAGAGCAAAGCCCTTTCACATCCTGTGCCAGGAGAACATCTAATAATGGAGACCTTCAATCATGAGCAGTAACAATAGTTAGTTTTGGAAAGCGAAAACAGAAATCACTCACTATGATCCACGTGATTTGTGCAATGCACAAAAGCACCCAACTCTTCCCATTGGCACATGAAAACATAAGATCAGACCGTTTAAAAGTGAGGCAAATTCTCAAAATTTAAAAATGGGTACCTGTATGTCGACTTTGAAGGTCCACACACTGTTGCAGTAGCAGAGCCAGGCAAACGTACCGGGGAAGCAGAGGCATCCAATGATGTCAAACAAGGTTCCTGATAACAGGGAAGAATAAGCATCAGAAGATGTCAATAAGGTTTTGGTTAAACAGAAAATAGAAGTCCCTAGTTTGTTTGTTGGAAAATGGAGGAAAGGAAAAGGACAATAGGAATCTTATTTGAGGTCAAACTACTAAAAGATTTTCTTTTTCTTTTTTTAGAAAAGGAAAGTGGAGTATAAGCATAACTTAGTTGTAACATTGGTGCCCCAAACTTAGTACAAAAATGAATGAGGAAAGAAAAAACTATAGAAAAATCACTTGAAAAGCAAAGTTATAACATTGCAATGAGCTTGTGCCCATTGAAGCAGTTTTAATAAGTATAGTATGCATCACCTGATGTTCGGCAAGTTATTGCACATTTACTTCCCATCTTTTCATTCAGGACAATATAGCCTTATCTTTTAAATTTAGAAATGTACATACATTGAGGCAAACAGCAATGATTAAACAAAAACCAACAAGACAAAGTTTTCTTATATTCAAGTGCTTATAAGAGAATACCCGCTGAAATTGTGCGATCTTGTTATTAGGTTGATCATTGGAACGTGATACAAATATTAGTTGTCGATAATTCCTCCTCTTGGTTTCTGTAGACGTCCCAAAAACAGAATATCCAACAGCACTATTAATAGCCGCATTAGCCTCCTGTTGGATAGAGGCCATGACATTGGCATGGTAACCATGAAAAAGAGTTTTTCTCTCTTCACTTCCTTCAAAGTTCTTGCAGTCCATGCATTTACAATTTTCAGAGCACAAAATGTTGGCCTGGAAACACTCACAATACCTCTTCAGACACCCAGATTTCTTGCAGTTACATCCTTTGTTGTGTTTCCCAACCATTGTAACCTCACCTGTGTCTTCCTGGTATTACTCTGTAGCAGTTAGAAGGCATACGGTATAACTCAAAACATTAAGGCATGTCATACTTTAACCTACCAGTTTTTAGGTTGACAACCTGATCATTTAGGTAAACATTTATGCAAAGCACTACATAAGCAGTTTACAGTTTAGAAATTAACCTCAGAAGGTAGATAACATTGCAACAAAAACTGAGGAACTTAGGTTCCATACCCTGCCGACGTTTGCTCCATGTGGACTGTTAGCAATCTTTGGTCTGAATGCATTTGGATTTCTCTCTAAGGTTGCTCTAACTGCCTCTTGCCTAGTAGCCTCATACTCAACAATATTGTGACAATTTGTGCAATTGCAACCAGCACAATAAACCCCAGAAGAAAAACATTCACAGTACCTGGTGATTGTTAAGATTAGCTTCTGAACAATTTATCTGTACTTGAACAACACTAGGTATATGAGTGTACTTACGAACTCAATCAAAGATTCTTAGCGAAGCAAAAAGGTAAACCGGAAGGGAGGTATCTATGGCTTACTGTATGCTGGTGTGCAACATTATGCAATCTTACAACTCCAATGGTGTTATAAGAGCAGAATGAAACAGGATTTTACATTTTGCGATGTGCATTTCTTTAAAAGAAATTTTATTGGTTTTAACATGAATCACTAATAAAATGATCTTTGGGTGTTCTATGACCAAATTTCGAATAACGAGTATATAGCTAATCTGAAAAGGGAAAAAAAATGAACTACCTACTCTAACTTGTGCACAGTTGGTTTGATCAATGAAAATGTCAGCGGAGGAAAGAGACTTTTTAAGGAGAGAGAGCTCATGTCGTGACCCTATACCCTCACACAAATATTACTTCCAAGAAGTTAGAACTTGCACAAAATCATTAGATACTTTTTTGCTGCATGACAAAATCCAGTCGTTAGCACTGCAATACTACTGCAGATAATTTAAGCAGTTCCTTTGTTGTCCCAAACTGAGCAATTTAAAGGAAGGAGATGAGCTGTATGAGGGTAAATTCAACTGCTCAGATTTTATCTATGGTTTAATACTGAGAAAATCATCTTCTTCCTCTTGATAGATCATAAGATCCCTTTACATGAAGAGGCAAGTTCAGCTGTGTGATGCTAAAACAACACAGAACCCAGGCTAAGAACTTACAACTTTAAGCAACGAGAACTTTTGCAATTACACTGCTTCTGTTTCTTTGGAGTACCATCCTTCAATTCCGTGCTACACCTTTTTCGTGATTGTGGAGACTCTGTCTTGCTGATGAACATAAATGTGTGCAACGTTAAATAAAACAAATTGAAATGTCCAAAAATAGCATAAAAGCAAGCACTCAATTAATTACAAGCATCCTAATTACCAGGAAAAACATTTAAGCATCCTAAATCCTTAGGTTTGAATATCGTGAAGCGAGTAAAGAAAATGAGTACAAATCAAAACTACGTGAATATCAAACTGAATATGAATCCAAGCACATATCATCTTCATCTCTCCAAGATTTTTTGGTTAAAACATGAACTTACAATAAAACATGTTCGAAATGAGAGATATTTTCAATTTCATGTTTAAGTGCTACTCATTTGATGCATCTCCTCTCAAATCAATTTGCACACCCAATTCTTGTTTAGTGCTCTCATGTAACAATTGAGATGACACATCCAAACATTTTGCTGATGGGAGAGGTTACTTCATGTTTAGTACCAAAATTGTGCATAGTGCAGATACTGTTCACCTTTTAGCAAGATTCAGGGTTGTTTCTTCTTTCATTTTCTTATAAGAAATTCACTTCTCCGAACTGCATGAAAAAAAGTGTATTATAACTGATATATGAAGATAACTCAAGCTTTTTACACATCAAGAAGTTGCTAAGAGCTTCACTAAAAGAACTACCTCATCTTTGCCTCTACAATTAGTTTATAAAATGATAATAGTTGATAAATGTGTTTGAGTGTGTTATTTGCTGACAACCGTCTCCAATCTCCATGCTTTCAACATATAAGGATTGTTTATTTTCTGTACTGAAATCTCTCCAATTATGGAGTAGTACATATGAAACAGCTCAAATGAATTCAAAATTCTGAAGATGTATAAGTAGAGAATAAGAGAAAGGACTATCTTTGGGTGATCGGTTAAACTTGAGAATTTAAAGCATAGAATTAGAAGTTAGTTAGATTCGCATCCAACCACATGCCACCACAAAACCTAGATTTCACTGTAACACCATTGATTTTGTAGCTGCTATCTATGATTAGAGCCTGATTTTAATTACAGCCTCTAGAACAGATCAGAAGTCCTTGGTGTGGTTCATTCTCTACCTCCTATGCAATGATTAGACATTGAAGTATCTGTTTACTTCATCTCAGAGTTTCTGAGGATTCTAATATTGAATTCAATACATTGAAAGAACGACGTGTCTTCTACCACAGGCGTTGATAAGGTGATTACTTATAATGCTTCTGCTACTATTGTGACACACCTGGGAAAGTCCAAAAATATTTGCCTCAAATTACTTGAACTCCTGTCAACTTAAACAAAGGCCACAAAGAGAGTCCCATTCGTAGCATCTGAGGAACAGAGCTGTAACTCTAAAATTAGAGATGTCATGTAATGAAGTAAAAGTTTGAAGTACAGATTATTAATTGCTGTAAGTATTGTCTTTTATGGGTGGTGTTACCCTCCTAGAGTAGATTCTAATTTCTCCATTACTTGAATGAAAAATATGATCTCCATTTTAATATAATACAAGGAGTATAGAGAATTACACATTTGGATAAGTTATTGTGCAATGGCCCAGCAAAAAAGCCAAAAAGAAAAAGAAAAAGTCACTGTGCAAAAGAATTTAGCATCAAATGGCAGCTTCCCCAAATTGTCTTCGCTAACTATCATTTTCTATGATAGTTAGCGAAGACAATTTGGGAAGTTTACAAAATCGAATTCACTTATCATCGGAGAGTTTTAACAGCATGCATGCACATGTATCACATATACTCTTCCACAATCACTCTTGGCTCTTGGCAATACGTAAAAAACTAGTTCTCCACGCTTTCCTTTATGCAACTTGTTGGTTTTTTCCCCCCCCTTCCCCTTTTTCCTTTGGGTAAACTAAAAACAATGACTATATTTGAATTTACAGGCCACAACCTTACAAAAATTCAGTCCATAGCGAAAACAAACTGTTCAGAATCACTCCCAAAGAAGAATTAATAATAACGAAAAACTTACATATCTTGCAATGTCGGCCGGGATAGGGGCTGCATTGGATGCGCCACCCACGGTTGAGCCACCTGCGGAGCTATCGGCACAACCTGTTCCAGCGTCAGTTGCGGTTGAGCTTGTGGATTCGATTTCAACTGTGGAACTGATTGATTTGCTGTTGCTTGCGGCCGTGCCATTGCTAGCAATTTAGACTGTAACTGAGCCTGTGGATGATCCGACAGTATCCCATTTGCTGACGCTCTACACATCTCGAAAAAGTCCAATTGCCTTGCTAGCTTCTTCGCCGGAAAATCAGAGTCCATCGAGACCGGTTCACTTTGCTCCATCACACTTCAAATTCGCAAAAAGCAAATATACAAAATTGTGTATGTTAAAGCAAATCACACAACTCAAATCCTTGGACTTCGCTTTCAAAACACCGAATTCAATTTCGAATATTTCTCGAAAGAAACAGATTTCATAGATGACTTTGGCGGTATGAAGCTTTGATTGTCACCAGAATCTGACGACATTTGCCGGAGATAGTACAAGTCACGTCGCAATCTGATGAAATGGATCCGTACAGACGGATTGAAGGAGGTTTTGGGAGTTTAGAGAGAGAGAGAGCTGAGAAGGCTTTCGTGAGTTTTTCTGTTGTCTCGCTGTCGATCTTTATCTGACCTTTCGAAATTTCAATTTCGCCATTAACCGAGGGTGGGATGAGGATGGGTTCAATCGGACGGGTGAGATTGAATGGACTGATCCAATGGTTGGAGTTCGTGTAAAAGGTGAGTCGTTCATTATTAGCCGTCGATTGAGAACGTGATGTGACTGGAGAGAGAGATTTTTAGGATAATGTCGTTTTTGTAGAATTAAAAATGTCGGAAATTTGGCGCTAATGGGAAGAGCTAAATGATTTACCGCTGAAGTTGCTGTACACGTGTACCATTGGGATTGGTGCGAGTTTGAATATGAATTCAAAATGTGGCAAAGTTGTTGTGAGAACTTTTATTCTTAATTTTACTTAATATTAAATAATCTATGATCTATAATAATAAAAAAAAGCTTATTTTGAATTCTCTAACTTAAAAAAATATAATAATAGTCGATATTGATTTAATCTTTATACAATTTCATCTTCTAACGATATAAAATTTATTCTAAAAATTTTTTCTTCCCAAAAATTAAAAATCTCACCTATACCCCATTCAAGCTATCAAAGATTAAACTCTGTCTCATAACCTTGTCTTCTCTATCTTTTACACTACCTAACGACGCTTCGTTTTCTCTCCCTAACTTTCTCTTCTTTTTTCCTTTTTCTGTTTAGGGGCATAATGAAACAATTCATTATCGACGACACCATAGCCACCACCGACAACACACCCACCGTCTAGGTATACCCTTTTTGACTCATTTTCTATGTCTTCATTTTTTTATCGCCCTTTCTCTTTATTTATATCTTTGTACACAGTCACCGTACATTGTGCGCACACAAATACGCACAATGTCTCTGTCTTCATCTCTATACACACAGTAGCCATATACAACGCACTGTTACCTGCACGATTTTGAATGATTTATAAGACCCAAAAAAAAAAAGAATCAAGAAAGAAAACCCGTTTCGGGGGGAGAAAAACCTCCAATGCCTCAATTGAGAAGAATCAAATCTCCAAAATTTTCATAAAAAAGTTTAATATAATATTTAATATATTTATTTCATTGATAGGAAAACCTTTAAATGCAAGATAATAAAACTACTTTAATAACTAACTTGACTCATGACTCCACTATCTTAGTAACTACGTACATAAGAAATTACCCATAAAATACTCTACCAGTAATTCACTTATTAAAGTAACTTCCTAATAATTACCTCAAATACCATATAAAAATAAATTAAACATGTATACACAAGAACAACAACAAATACACATACACACACAACCCATGCACACAACACAAACACCCACAACGTACACATACAACACACACCCACACTAAGTTAGGTGATGAAGGGTTAGTTTCGACAGAACCAAATCAAAACGAAAAATCAACTAGGGTTTTTGGATATAATGTGCGGAATTCAATCATTGCTTTAACTGCATTAATTTATCTTTTTGAACAATATTGCAGGTTAAAGATGTGGTTGCCTACTATTGATCCTAATCCTATGGAGGCTCAAGCTACTCTCTATTACAAAAGCCCATTGTCATACCTACATGTGTAGGTGTTTTGAGTTTGAATTCTATATTTTCTATGCCTTTGTTGTGAAGATTTTATTAAAAAAGTTGATACCTGAGAAAATTGCCCCATTCAAACAAGCGTGGATACTATTAACTAGGAATCTACGTTAACATGGTAATGGCTTCCTAATTATTGTGTATGGCACATGGGTGATACACAGTAAAAAGCTGAGCGTTCCCTCCCTAAGCATTGTTTGGATTGGCGTTCAAAATGGTGAAGCTTGTCAATTGGGATTCTAACTAGTAAAATCAGGTCTCTTTCGATCATATTTTGATTCGAATTTAAATTCGATTAACTTAGGTGTGCAGTTCCGGTAGGATGAGAGGTCAACTCTAACCTAACCTTAAGTATATAATATTCAACTCTAACCCTAATCCGAACCTGACCTCAACCCAAGGTATTCAACTCGAGTATTGTCTGAGTTAAACTCGGGCGGGTTCGAGTTAAATTCGGATTACTTAATTCAGGTTGATTTCGGGTTAAAAATCGGGCTGAGCTCGAATTACTTAATTCGGGTTGATAAAAGAGAGAGGAGTAACAAGTAAGAGAGAGATGTTGAGAGTCTGAGACGAGATTCATACGAGTGAGAGAAGGAAACTGAGAGTCTGAGACCAGATGAGAAACAAACGACTAGTGAGAGCTGGATCTAAGACTACCGGAGGCATAGGAGTGAAAACTTGAAATTAAGTGAAAGTCTAGACTTTGAAGAGTGAAGATATAAATGCTAACCCTAGTTTAATTATGTATTTATATACATTCAAGTTTAACTCGATTTAATAATCGGGTTCAACCCAATTTTAATATTCGGGTTGAACCCGACAACTCGATGTCTTAACCCAAGGTTTGTCCGAATTTAATTCGGGTTGGAGTTTTTTTGTCCAGACCCAACCCAAGTATTAAAAATTCTAAACCTAGCCCTTTTTTTTTTATTGGACTCGAATTGAATTCGGATTGACCCGCCCAAGTTACACCCTTACATTAACTGAATATGAATTGATATTTTTTTTTTATCAATTATTCAAACCCAAATTTAAATTTGATATCTTATATTTTACATATTCGAATTTAGATATACCTATATTCAATTCGATCTAAAATATTTATTTATTTTTGTATAAATATTAAAAAAAATTAAGTAATTATTTAAAATTTTTTAGTTAAATTAAATTATTCGGATCGAATCGGATTCTCAGATTGTTAATAAATTTGGATATGAAACCACAAAAATAAAATCTGACAGATTTTCAGATTAGATTTGAATAAGTTAAAATCTGATCTAAACTCGATCCTTTGACAGACCTACCTTTACTTTACCTCACAATACTTTATGGGTGTGACTATTTCCACTCTACAAATCTCCATTCTCATTCCATTTAATTTATTATTATCAAACTATTAAGTTTACCCCTTCTATACCCACCTCATTCGTAACTAAATGCACCTCATGCTACGTACACCCTTTTTAATAAATAAACTCACTTTATATTTTGTTATAGTTAAGGTTTCATTCTCTATCTAATATCATGCATTCACACAAATACTTTTTTCAATATTAATTTTTTTAGTGAAATACAGATCAGTATTACTTCTCTTCTATGTTTGATTTTATGTTTGTTATATGATTTTTTATTATTTTCGATCTGTTTTGATATTTCTATCAAATTTAATAATTTTTTATTTAGAATTTATATGTGTATATATATATGTATTCTTTCAAATTATTTGTTCTTTTTTATTCTATTAAGGTTTTGCATCTATATTTTTTATTTTTTTTTCTTATACGATTTTGTATTTGTGCTTGATGTGTTTTTTTTTCATATTCACGTTTTGTCTTGTAATTTTGGTTGTTCCTTTAATTTTTACTTAATTTTGTTTCCTCTTGTTTCGATTTGTTTCTTTCTTTTTGTTTTTTTTCTTATGTCGTTCCTTTCTTTTTTCTTACTTCTGCTTCTTTCTTTCCTTTTTTTTTTCTTGTTTTATTTTTTTTTCTTTTTCTTGTTTTAGCATGCTTGATTTTTTTTACTTGTTTCATTTTTGATTTTTTTTTTATTGTTTCAGTTTTGCTTGGTTTATTTTTTTTTCTTGTTTCATAAATATATTTATGCATTCAAACTAATTGTCTTCTTTCATTATTTTTCTTACGATGATTACTTTCATTAAAGGGTATATATAAAATGAGTGAACTTAACTATTTATGGGGTGTATATAACATTAAGTGTACTTAGTTACTAATGGAGTGAGTATAAAAAGAATGAGCTTAGTAGTTTGATAATGAGAAATTAAATGAGATAAAATTGCTAACAAATTTAGATATCAACTACGAAAATAAAATCTAACGAATTATCAGATCGGATTTGAATAAGTCAAAATCTAATCTAAACCCGATTCGTTGACAGGCCTACCTTTACTTTACCTCACAATACTTTATTGTTAAGCTTGGACAATATTGTCATGGGTGAGGCCATAGCACCAAAATGGTATCATACATCCATCGATCTCAATTTTTAATTTTAAAATTTGATGATCTATAATTATTTATTAAAAAATAAATAAATAAAATTATATTCATAATGCATTCTTATTACTTAAAAGTGAATATACGATACTGAAAAAGTGTTTCTTCCCGCTCTAATGAAAATGATCATGACGGTTACCCCACATTTTTGAACCCATATAAATTAGACTAGCTAGTAATTGAAAATGAATTTTACTATGCCTCTTAGATGACTGAACATATTCATTACCAATGAAGAAGTCAGTCATAAACACAAAATGTTGATACAAAAAAGACAAAAGATTTTGCCTATTATGAGTTAGATATAATGTCTACATATACTAACATACCAGTGGTGTTGATAATAGAAAAAAGTAAGCTAGGTTTAGTAACACTTTATTGAGTAATTTAACCAAAAAAGTAATTTGTTATAAAAGCAAAAAATATATATTTGATCACTATATTATACAAGTGATCCATATGAATCTTAGTTTATAAATAATATACTTAAATACATGTATTTATATATAGTACTATACAATATGTAATTAAGTCATCGATGCATTTCTAAAACAATCAACAAGTTCTATGATGGGAGTTTAGCAGTAA